ATTAATCGTTACTTGTGATCATCCATGCTTGCACATTACATACCTTGCTTGACTTTGATACTATATTCATTTGCATCATTAAATAATTCAATATATTGAGCTTTCGTGGATGCTACTTGATATGTCATATGATGTTAAAGGACAATTAAGTTATCATGCCATAGGGGTCGCATATAACGATATAAGCTGAATAGGTTTCTCTCTTCTTCTTTTGCTTCATAAATTTATTCTCTCAAAATCTTTTTATATCTATATGTCAAGTTAATGATATTGATACTTGTAATAAGTAATCAGTGATAACCATGATAATTTTTTCTTGTTATACCACCATCAGAAGTTTGGATGATTTTCTATAACTAAGAATCCTAAAATGCATATGAATTCATATATGGAATGGTAACTCTACAAGTATACAAGAGATGTAAGAAATATCAAGTAAATGTTACTGATTGAATTTGAAATTCTTTGTCCAATCATGGTGTCTAATTTTTGGTTTTCGTATGAAAATTGAAAGCATATGAAATTAACTCCTCCTTCCATCCTGCAAAGATAGGTTTGCTTTCCTTTATCGTATGTTCCGAATTGTAGGTCACTTTCCTTGTTTAGAGCATAATTATTTCTTAGTTTTCTAATATGCCCCTATTTAATGTGCTTGATATCAACAAATATGAATAACTCCTATTTAAGCCATTATTAATGTAGGGGTATATTATAAAAATAAGTAAAATTTATTGTTCCAACTATATTAATTACATTTTCTTAATTTGTGTGAAAATGGAAGCAACCTATCTTTGTAGGACGGAGAGGGTATGTTTCTCATGTGGTAATTGATATATGGGAGTAGCATTATGGATGCTGATACAGTTGTGGCTTATTGGCATTTATTAAAACTATCATATTTCTGACATGGAAAGTCAATCTAATAGGAAGTGAATGTACTGTAAGAGCAAGCATATTGTTAAATGCGGATGGAATTGAGAGAAGACTAACATTGGTGTTTAGGGGTATGAAAAAAAATGCAATATACAAAAGATGAATCATTAAATATAGAATGGGCATGGGAGTCGGAAAAGTATCATCAACTGGAGATGAAATGTGAGAAAACTGAGTGGATATGGTTAACTTGGATGAAAGAATATGATTCTTATCAAAGAAAAAAAATTCGGATGAAGATTATGCATCTAAACTTAGCCGAGGTATGACTTCTTGTTTAGTTATGCACTATGCCTCAATAGAAATGAAAAGCATATGAATACAAAGTAGGATATTTTGCTTAGAAAGTGTGTTGACTTGTCTGTTATATTCCAGTAAACTTACAAAGTGGGGAGAAATCAATTAGTTTGACAAATCTAATCCTAGTTGTCGTAACTGGTAAGTCCCATCCAGAAACCTGTTATAATTATGCAAAAAAATCTTATAATGTGTCAGCTATATATGATGTAAGTTGAGGCAAGCTGATGCATCGTGTGCATAATTGTATGTATTCTGAAATAATATTTCATATAAAAAATTGTGTTTATTATATCACTGCAAAGGTATATTTGTCTAGAAACATTTTTTTCTTTTTTTGATAAGTAATCAAATATTTTATTAATCACGGATAATACATAAAAAGTGTATTATCAATTTATACAAGAAAGAAACGATATAAAATTGGGCAACCCGTCTATACGAGTAGTAGCCGCAGTATTAAACCAATTATACAAGGTCAAATAAAATGATTCTTTGATATGCTCTGTAGTCCTTGAAAGATCGTCAAAACAGCGGTTGTTTCTGTCCTCTACACACACCAGACGATGTGTGACGGTCCGAATCCTTGACTATTCGAGAGTCACTAAATAAAACTTAATTCTTTCATAAGAACTAAAATAAAAACATGAAATAATTTTATTTTTCTCCAATAAATAAATAAATTTTGGTTTTATCATGTAGTTGCGAAAAATGAAAGAAAGAAAATAATTTCAACATAACAACTAAATTTGAAATTCAAAGTTGTGTTTTAAATACAACACAATTTATTAACCTTAGCCCCATTGCCATCTTCATGTTGACTGTCTCGAACCATTAATTGCCTGAAAGGGGGGAATTATCATAGAGTGAGATTTATAAAATCTCAAAAACTACGCCATGAATTGTTATTGTGTATGACTTAAAAGAGCATAATAATCATAATCAACATAATGGAGACACAAGAATTTTACCGAACGTAGGTGGTAAGAATTCTTATGTGTAACGCTACTAAACTCCGGTCTCCTTAATATAATTATAATCATATCATAACATATGTGACCCATAATAATTTTCTTGAAATTCATAACATAACAATAATTCAACATAGACAGCATACTTACAGTGAAGTTTGAAAGGAAGAGTAATAGAGACTTGATCCCTTTACAACTTCCACCTTGGCTTATGAATGTGTATGTGTGTATTATTTGGACTAAAAAAAATATATTATTGAGTGGTAGCATGTGAATGTAAATGAGGGGTTTAAATAGAGCAAGATTAGTCATGCATCTTTAAGGAAAAATTCATAATAATAGAATTTGTTCCTTGAAATTTGTGAAATGAGCATGAATCTCTCCATCATTCCTACATTTATTCATTCACACTACACACTACCTTATGTTTGGTCAATCAAGCATAAATCAAGAATTTTCTATGTAAGTGTTTGACCAAAAATTTAATCAAAAACATGTGAGAATTAGTACTTATGGTAAGTTTGCTACAAGGTCTTAGAAGGTGGATTAACCCTCAAATGAGCCCCTAAATTCTTCAATTTTGATAATTAGACCCGGAAATTCAAGTGCGGGTATTATACGATGCACCTTGGAATGAGGTTCCAGACAAACTTGCTATCCTTATTATGAAATTTTCTCCTCCATGCTTCCAATACATCCTCCATACACTGCGGAAAAACCTAAACCATGTGTTGAGAAGCTAGAATATCGAAGAGAACGAGCAACGTCACAGTGAAGGAACGAATGGTCAATCATCTCCCCATTCCTCCTTCACATATAACACCACTCCGTAAGATAAAAACTCCTTCTTAGGGGGTTATCTACCGTTAACACTTGTCCCTTCACAACCGCTCATAGTAAAAATGCCACCCGAGGAAGCAGTTTACATTTTCATACCATCTTCCAGGGAAATTAGCTCTATGCAAGTCTCAATAAGGACCTAAAATAAGTACCAATTGAGAAAATACCACCCCGTGCCAAACTCCATCTGCTACAATCACCCTCTTCTGCCTTAATGCACGCCTCATACAAGGAGTTCATAAGTATCGCATAATCATCCAACTCCCAGTCCTGCAAATCCCTCCAAAACGCAATGTTCCAGCTGATATTCCTATTATGTATATGTACAACCTTTTTCACCATAGCAGATGGCATCGGAGCAACACAATAGAAGGAAGCTCCACTCTTTACAGCCAATTTCCACACCAACAAGCTTCCCAAAATTTGATAATGTTGCCATTCTCCAACATAACATCAATTTATCTAGGAAATCTCTCTACTCTCGTCGGATTTACTTCCATAAACTAACTCCATAAGAACTACGACCCTCAACTGAGCACCATCCTCCCTCCATAACACCATATTTCGCCTCTATAATTTCTCTCCAAAAGTTCTCCTTCTCCATGCCAAATCTCCACAATCACATCTAGAAACTAATTACTATTTGGAAAAAAAAGTGAAAATTAATTTGGAAGTTAGAGTTTAGGTACTCATTCAACACCATTGGAGTATTGGTGAAGAGAGTAAATGAATCAAGTCAGAGACCAAATGTACTCTCACTAAAATACATAATATGTAGCTGAGAATTGGATAGCAAGTGGAAGATTCATTCATCATTCTATGCCCTTGTTTGAGCTCCATTCTTCTCAAAATTCATTTTCAACCACATATTTTTTAATAAAATAATATTACACTCAAACCCATAATTTTTTTTTAATTTTTAACCACACATACTCCATCAATCACTATTTAAAAATGCATTATTTCCCTTAAAATGGGGGCTCAAACAAGGGCTATATGTTGATTTTAAAAGCTGTTTATATTAGCATAAATTGTAAGGAAATATGAACATGGGCATTATGTTGTTTGTTTAACGAATCACGCTACACATGGCTTCTGATTCATGAAAAGAAGTGCCACGCAAAACCGTTTTGGGCAATATCATAGTTATTTTTTCAATATGTAATACATGTGGTGTTAAAGATCATTACATTTCACTTGAGATCGGGCTTCTTTTTTTTTGGGTGACGTATCAATAGTGTTATCAATTACGGCGATTAATGGAGCCATATGTCTTCCATAAAAAAATCAAAACAAGATTTCTACTAAAGAACACCATCTCATTAGAAAAAAAGTATTCCAAGGGCCAATTATTTCACATTAAATGCATGTGAGAGGATCTCAAGTGAGTTGATATATATGGAAATATACTAATTAGTAATTGCTGCTAAGCTGCAGTTTGTCCACTATATAGTAAAAGACACCCGTGATAATAATTTTTATGCTCTCCTTGCTTATGCCTTTTCCTTCTATGTTTTCTTGCAAAAACCCAAATTATTTTTGTGGGCCAGAGAAGCAATGCACTTATAGGCTTGTCTCCAGACATATTATTAATTTGTCATAGGGCAATCATACATATTTATACTATACTGTTCTTCTACTAGCTTCCTTAAAAATTGTTTGCTTTGTGTACAGATGGTGGTGCTACCACCGGCAGCTTCTTTAGCAGAATGCTCAGACCTTTGACCAGTTCTCATCAAATTTGTCCACTTATCGGCTGAAACATTTTTATTCGTTTTAAATTGTCTTATTTATAACTAAAGATACATCACAGTAATTACTTTTCTTGATTTTGGTTGATATATTCATTTGTAAAACAAAATAGGGGTAGCTCAGTGGTCAGGCCTTGAATTTGCTCTCCAATAGTCATCAGTTCGAGTTCCCTCAGGGCCATTAAGGTGAGTATCTGACTGTAAATTTCAGAGCCCGTAGGATTAGTCGAGCTGCGCCCACGGTCATGGGAAAAAAAAAAGTAAAACAAAATATATTATTGGGATTACATTTTAAAATGCCAATATTATTAGGAGTAGCCTCCAAGCTCTTATATATTGATTAACCATTTAACCTTAACATGCCACGCAAGATGTGGCTCATCTGAGCACCCTCCGAATGCTCATTTGAGTATTAGATGCACCGAATTGCTCGTTTGAACTTAATAGGCTTTGATACCATGGTGAAATTTGGATTTCATCTCAATGGCTCAACCTTGTTTACATCTTTATTTTATGTAAGATTTATCCCTTAACAAGATGTACAAATCACTGTGTCGTGCTTTCTCTTGTTGCTCAATTAAAGAGATTTACTATTAGACAAGGTTGGAAAGAGACTAACGGATTATCCAATTTTGTCATAATTAAGTCTTGGAAGCATCTTAAATTTGACTCCATATTGCATGCATGGTTGTCACTGCCCCATTGTATTTAAATAATATTCTCACCTGTTTCTGGTAGATCTTTGTTTGGTTATATGCTTTACGCTGATCTTGATACACTAATATTCTCACCCTTTTTAGATTATCGAAATTCATTTCCACTTTGTTCATGCAGGGAGCTTCTTTGATGGATGTATCTGAACTCTCTCTTTCTCTATATTTCTCTTCTCAGGTACAAGAGCACATTATCCTCCTGGTCAAGCTTGAGATTACATTTCCAGTAACATGGACAGGTATGTCATAAAGCTATCATGGTCTGTTTTCTCAGGTTTTCAATTTTATGCACGAGGATAGATGCATTAAGTTTTTATTTTTTTGTTCATACAGGCTGTGATGTGTGTGTTTGTTTTTCATTTTTTTATTTTTTATCTTTTCCGACAAACGTCTCTGTTCATTTCTATTATTCTGCCATAATGAAACCTTTGCCATCCCAGAACCATCTTTACTTTAACATGAAGATAGAATTCACTAAAGGTAGTTGGGCATTCACTCAGTTATAGAGATGTGACACAGTAGGAGGAAGAGGTAGAGAAAGGAAGATAAAAGGTTTTTTGTTGGATGCATATTTCCTTTCTTTTTTACTTTATCTTTTGATTGAAGACAATCACAACTCTAGTTGGTTCCATTCATGAGAAAGGTCAGTAGTACTTCCAAATCCATTATATCCCATTTATATGGGTCCTATACTATTGAACTGAGAACTCGTCTCTTTATATGTTGGACTTAACCCGCTATTGCACAAAGCTAGAGTGGCTGGGCCGGTGGAACCTTTGTATTATATTAGATGTCAGTTTCCTTTTCTGCTTTGCGTAGCTGATTACTCCTTTACTCTTTTTATTCCTTACCAATTTTGGATTTGAAGGTTTGATAGCCAGAATACATGATAAGTAATTGTATCTTGTTTGGTTAGGTACGTGTTAGTGGTTGTAAAGAGATGGAAGGGGGACCTTTTGCACAGAATTTTGGAGGAAACTTTCTGCATGAAATCTTGACACCTGTATTGGCATAAAAGAAACCTAATTATCTCCCATAGTTTAGCTCCTTTAATTACTTGTATAGTTAACCTTACATAATCAACTCCTTAAAATTATGGTAGTAATTAGGGTCAATTATTTCATTTGTCATTGAACTTCCGTATTGTTTAACTAAAACGTCATTAAATTTTAATTTGTTTTTGCATGGTCACTGAACTATTAAAATTGAAATCCATCCATCATTAAATGAATTTGTTAAAGAGGTTGCTTACTTGGTGAACGAGAATCCTACATTACTTATTAACGTCATTAACTTTGTTTCACTGGACACATAATTTCCTAAAGGTCACTGCACTGTTACTAAATGATCTTTGAATTTTAAAATGTTTCTCCATTGTCTCTGAATTTTTAAAATTATTACCGGGATCCACTTTTGTTTGCAGATAGATGAATGCATGACAATTAATAGAAAGGCCACCCACGCAATAGGGTAAGTATTACTTCTCGACAAATTTCAAATTTTACATTCTTCTCAATAATTCATGTGAATGTTTTAATAAGGTAATTTTGTAGTACATGGAAAAATAAATTCCTACAATATTGGTATCAATTTAAATGATGTTGTGCATGTCGAAAATGGGAGTTTTGTTGGGCATACCATGTGCACATACCTGTATTTTCGTTAGAGAAAGGATTATGTTAACTTTGTCACAATTGTTAGTGGAAAATTATCTTGATAACAGAAAATATTATAAATCCAATCAATGGATAACAATTGAGGCTGAAGTTTGTGTCCCCAAATAAACCACCAATTTTGTGTGTTCCTTAGAAAGGTAGGAGTTAAAGGAAACGAATGTTACAATAAGAGGTATCATATGAGAAGTGATGAACCAATTGAAGTTAGTAACAACTTCCATTTTTTATAAAAGAGGAGAAAACACCAACATTGCAAGGGAGTTGTTGAAAAGAATGTCACATTTGAGATTTGTCAAAAAGTGAGCTTACTCTAGTATCTGGGTGGCCTTTCCATTAACCCTTTTTATACAAGTATGAAAGTGGACAATCAGTAATAAGTTTAAAATTTAGGTGATCTTGGAGAAGTATTTTAAAGTTTAATGACCATCTGGGTACATGATTTGTCCATTGGACAGAATTAATGGCGTTAATAGGTCATATAGGATTGACGTTCGGTATGTCAACAATCCCTTTTAACCGAATTCACTTTAATGATGGATGTATATTGCTTTTAATAATGTAGTGGCCGTGGGGAAATAAATTGAAGTTCAATGACATATGAGTAACGTGGGCAAAAAAGTTCAATGACCAATGGTACAATTGACCCTAATAATGAGCTCCTACAGTTATAATAATACAAGTATACAATTAGCTCCTACAATTATTCTTATTTCAACTATTATCCACAATCAAATTATATTCTTTCCTGATTTTCAGTGGATGACTCTTGACCAAGCACCTTGTTAGTTTAGGAAAATATTAAGGGTGCGTTTGATTGTCAATGTTTTCCATGAAAAATGTGTTTTTCCACCCAAATTCCTACTTTTTTGTTGTTTGATTGACATTTTTTCCATGGAAAATATTTTCCTACTTTTGATCACGTGATCATATTTTCCTCAAAATCAAGGAAAATATTTTCTTTAGAGGGTAGGATTTTATTTTTCAGGGAATTCACTCTCTCATATGTACACTTTCTCTCATCTATCTACCAATGAAAAATGGACAAATATAATATTTTTTGGATTGAAAATTAAATTAATCAAACACATTTAATGCAATAAGTTTTAGGCAATTTAATTGCCTAGAATTTATTTTCTTTCCATGCATGCTTGTAATCAAACGCATCCTAATAGATTTTACTTTCCATTCATCACTTCTTTAATTTATGTTTCCTGTCTCATTTTAAAAATCATCATGATGTTAGAGCATTCATTGTGTGAACTAAATTGTCATGATGAGCCCAAGCTCATGATACAAACTTTTCACCAATGCTTTAGCCACATCACTAGAAAATTAAATATTTCTAACTTCTTTGAAGCCTGCACGTTTTTACCATGATCAAGAGTTTTAGGATAGACCACGATCTCACTTCTACGATATTCTCAAATTTACATTGTGGCTCAATTACGATGGCTCGCCACGATCTTACTTCTATGATATTCTCAAATTTACATGGTGGGGTCAATAACAATGGCTTGCTTGTTTCTTGGGTCCTGGATGTCATCATACTGAAGATATGCAGCATATCATTAGATAATCTACAAAACTAAAGCGGAATAGCTTCATGGAGCAATTGCTTCCCGATGCTAGCATATTTGAAGATGCCTGGACTAAAAAGGTTTCCCTCTCCATCATGGAATACCATCAGAAGTTCAAATCTAATGTTGACAATCAACATGCTTTTTTCAGAAATTGCAGGAGTATTCCAATTGCCTTGCGGACTTGGACCTATACATCAAGACTCTTGTGACAATACTCAAAATGCCACAACCAATTTTCCATGTCCGGGTTAGTTACCAAGGTCATGGGTTCAAGGATTGGTACCTCCCCTCACCCATCAAAAAAAGGAAAAGAAAAAAATTAAATAAAAAAAGAAACACAAAATGCTATGCTATCATTTTCTTCACCAGTTTGTTCTTTCGTTCCATAAACACTAGAAATTCAAGCTTCACATGGGAAGAGGCAAAAGGACTTGTGACCATGCTTAAGCCTTCTTTGGATGAAGAGGGTTGAGGAAACAAAAACAGAGGTTGTTTCTAGTGAGAGGAACAAGTTTCACACAAATGCGTGGACCAAACAATCCAAACTCTATTTAAAAGCTTTTCAGGAATTCGAAGCAACAACTTCTATGGCCTCCTAAGAGATATGAATAGCAGTAGAGAATGCGACCAAAAGGAGAGTTCACAAACTGGTTTCATGCAAATCATCTGGGGCCTTTCCAAAAGGTTGCATTCTCCTTTTTCAAAGTTTGTTTTCACTATGATGATTCTAGTCTTCTCACTTTAGGTTCATCAATCCCTCTTTCCAAATTTTGTGTAATTATTGAATAGATTATGTTACGACATACAATTGTAAAAGTACTTTTTATGGATCAAATAATAAATATTCCTTTTTTAGGTGGTTTAAGAGATGCTGCTCAATCAATTAGCTATGAAATACCATTTACTCTATTTTCTAATTTTCCGAAGTAAACAGGAAAGTGTTCTGTTACCATCGAATATAAATTATTTTCCCTATAAATTTTGTATAAGAATACTGATGACTGCTTATGTTGTTCGATAATGAAAGATTGTTACTGATGACTGCTTATGTTGTTCGATAATGAAATAGTGTTCATCCATTCTCACTTTATCTTGTCTAACGTGAGTTCATCCTCATATTTTATCTATCAGTTAGGTCATCCTCCTCATTTTTGTCTCTCCCTCATTTCAAAAAATCACTAGCAACTACTACCTGAGCCAGCAACATTTTGTTGCCTCTGATTAGTTGATCATGACAATATCATGGAAATGCTCTCGGGAATTATATTGCAGTTTGATTCAAGCAAATGAATATACAGTTGCTTGATAATTAAGACAATGTCAAGGCTGGAGTTGCAGTGTCACGTGCTTCCAGATTTGTGAATAAATATACCTTAATATTATCTCCTCCGTTTCTTATTTCGATGTAGTACCCGTTACATAACTGCCATTAATGACTTACAATTTCTATGTATAATATCCGTTTGCAGCTTGAATGGCAGGGGAAAGATGTCTCCACTGTGAAGGAAGAGCTAGCCAACTCCATCCTTGTTTCTTCGCGCTGGAAATGCAATGATAATCCAGCCTCTAAAGTACCGTATCATGGAAATGAAGATTGTTGAGTATGTTTCTTGCAGTAAAAGCTTTAGTTTCTTTTTTCAATTTGCACCATTCATTCAGTCTTTAACACCTCAAGTCATATTTTGCAAGGCACCTTCGAGGATATGTACTTACCACTCCAAAAGTTGATTGGACTAGTTGAATTGGCAACTTATCCAGTGGTACTAAGGGCCCGTTTGGCATGACTTTTGAAAAGTCAAAAAGAGTTTTTGAGACCCAAAAACCGCTTTTGGCCTTGTTTGGTTAATTTTATGAAAATACTTCTTCTAGTTTGAAGTGCTTTTCAAACACTTTGGAATATGAAGTTCTTTCAAAAATTGGTTTTCAAATAAAACTTAAGGTAGCTTCCTCCAAAAAATCTTCTACATGAAACAAAAATAAAAGCAAAAGTCATGTCAAACGAGCCCTAAGTAGATCTTGCAGGGTATGCATGCCAGTCTTTGGACAATTGAGTATCCTAGCAGGCCCATCTACGGGGCATTCATGGGTCGTAGTTTGCGATGGTGAACACAACATTGGCTTCAAACATTGAGAGCCTCGCTAAACTGCCACTGATGGTGCCTCCAATTGAATTGGTATTTCAAACTCCAAGATGGTTACTACACTATATTTTCTTCCTCTTGGTTTCTTGTAATTGTTTTCCTTGTGCAATGCACCAGGCTTAATGTCCTTATTCGACTTCGACTCAGCTAGAATTGGCTTCTGCTTTGGATATGCCCGTCTTTCCTCCCTGTGCATATCTTGAACGAGGAATGGCGGGGCCATCTTTTATATAAGAAACATATACTGCTTTTGGTTTGGTTTAGGAGTGGCAGTAATTGGTTAGAGTTTCCGCTGGTGGACATTGGATTAACGACAAGGGCATCAAACATCTCCCTGTATTACCACTGATGGCGCCAGGCTCCAGTTGAACCAGTCACTAAGTCCATGATGCTTACAAAGTTCATATATATATGTATTTTTTATTTTATTTTTGTGCCCTCTTTCTTTTTCTTCAGTTATTTTAATTTTCATCTCAAAGGTGCAAAAGTATTTCTATTTTTCATTTTCTACAGATAAAAAACAGATGGGCCTCTCAATGGTTCTCTCTCTACTACCATTTTGTGTCCCTTTGATTGTTATATTAGTACGACAATCAAGTAAATTAAAGACTGGCAGTGTGACAAAACACCACACTTTGACAGTAAGCACAAAATTAAGTGGTCAACTTGAAAGTTGATTGTTTACTGCTTGACAAGGCACGTTTTATTAATTTTTTTAAAAGTCATTTATTTGACTTTAATTTCAAGCTTTTTCTTTGAAAATTGTATAATCGAAGTAATTATAAATTTTATAATTTTAGTTGTTTGATATGAATTATCTTAATCGTTAATGATTTTTAGAATGTAAAATGTTACTTACTATTTGAATATGAAGGTTTTATCCCAACCTTTTCTTTTACATCGTCGCCTTACTCAATCTCACCTCCTATGTTCCAACCTAGAGCACCGTTTTGTTCGGAGTTGCATCCTACTTATCTCTTCCTTTTCTTTACACGGTGTCTTCTTACTATCTAATGTTCAAAGGCATGTCCTTGGTATATAGTGATATTCATAATTGATTTATAATTTCATTTAGGATTAAACATTAATTTCTACAATCACCAATACTCATTTATTATCTACAGATATTGTGATATTCATATATGTTCATCTGAAAGTTTCCTAATATTTATAGATGAATGCATGTTATATTTATATAAATTATCTTTTACTTATTTTGAAATAAGAAAGTGTGCTCGAGTTTCCTAACAAGTTACTTATAAATTTCCTTTTAATGCAAATAAGTAGTTCTCATCGAATGTGTGAATTTATGTGGACGTGAATGTGTAATTAAAATTAAAATTTGACTTTAAATGTGAATTATAAGTTACTTTTTCGAGAAATCAAACCTTTTAGTAACTCACTTATAATTAAGCATCACCCCCCCCCCCCCCCCCCCCCCCCCCCCCCCCCCCCCCCCCACAAAACCCTCTCACTGACACCAACACCCTGACTGGGGAAGAAGAAGATGAAGTGGAGGGATTATCAGAGACTCCCAATTCTCATATCCAACAATCTCCATCAACGCCACCGTCTCCACTGCCCTACCTTCCTCCGCAAGGTACGACCCGCCCAAGCACGAGCTTATTTTTCATCTAAAAGGTGCAAAAATATTTCTATTTTTCATTTTCTACACTTAAAAAACACATGAGCCTCTCTCAATGGTTCTCTCTCTACTACTATTTTGTGTCCCTATGATTGTTATATTAGTATAATGAGTCACAAAACACGACGCCTTAGCCGTAAGCTTGAAATTAAGCGATCAATTTGAAAGTTTGTATAATTGACTAATTTTAGGAATTATTAAGGAATTATAGATTTTATAATTTTAGATGATTGATATGTATTATCTTAATTATTAAATGATTTTTAGAATGATTAAAAATTTTAAACGATATTAAAATAAGAAAATGTTTTTAGGCATAGGTCTTGTCTAGGTTCGTAAAGCTTGAAGCTTGACATTCACGTCTAATTTTTATAATACTTATTAAAAGTAATGTAACAAATGAAAATTATGGTGCTAATATATCCCTTTGTAAAATCCTACTTTGCAAGCGTAGTTTCAAATTTATTACAAAACCGTAGATATGTGACGATTGTCAAGCTTTACTTTATTTGAAAGACTAATTAAAGATTTTAAGGGTGGATAAGTTTTCAAATGCTATCAAAATTTCAAAGAAAAAAGAAACACAATTGAAATTAAGTAATTTTTTGTCCTAAAATTGTTAAAAGAAAAAGTAAATTTTAAAGAAAAGACGTACATGTTAAGAAAAAAATTACTTAAAAGTAATTGTTGATATAAAAAATTGTAAATGAAGACTGATATGTAAAAGAGAAATTATTATAATTAATATACTTTATGTCTTTAATAGAAACAGAAATTAAATGATGAGACTAGACCAATTTTTAACAGACGAAGGAGACGAAATTTGGTCAAGAAAATTACAAGTTGAATCAGATTAAACTAAATTTTTCTTTCCTTTAAAAAATAATAATTATAAATAAAGACAGCCGTTATTGAAAGTCAAATTGTACAAATTCAGACACGTTTGTTATTAAAATTCTCTACCATACAAATTTGGAAATTGTCTGAAATAACAACGTCAAGTAGTAGTAGTATTCCGAATTCGTTCACGTAAGAGGGAGGCGGCACAAGAAATTTATGGGTCTTCGACAAAATCTGAGGACGAGTCGGATTGTCTCTTTAAAGTAGACGTCTAATGAGATTCGATGACTCAATTAGCTCGACTTGTCCCATTTAACACATTTTGGGACTCTAGTAGATTTATGAGTCTTCGCGCAAGATGATGGTAGGTAGATAATTCCAAGAGTGCGAGTCGAATTGTGTTATTAAAAAGTAGATATGTGATGAAATCTGGTGACTCGATTAAATTGTCTTTCCACCACTGCCATTACGTATTCGGTATGAATGCACTAACTATTAACCGGAGCAAGTCCAACAAACCAGTTCACTTTATTGTTGTATGTGTTTGACTTTACTATTTGCTTTTAATTAGTTGACAATTTAAAATAATATAAAAAGCAAAAAAAAAAAAAAAAAAAAAGGGCCCCAAAAAAAATTTTTTTTTTTTTTAATTTTTTAAAAATTAAAAAAAAAAAAAAAAAAAAAAAAAAAAAAAAAAAAAAGGGGCCCACTAAAACTATTTTTTATTTCAATAGCTTATTTCTATTAATTAATAATATTCAGTCCTGAGCTGATGTAATTGAATTCGTAGGGTAATTCAACAATTTTCTACACCGTATATGTACACAAGACTGGACCGGAAGAAATCAATTCAATTTTGTTGTATTCTGACCTAAAATAGAATAAGATTATGGTTGGAATTAATTAGATCATTATTTTGATTGAAATTAGTCTCATGCATGAATAATGGATTAAATTATTGAATATTTACTATGCGATTGTTCGTTCGACTCGGTCGAGTTACGATCTTTTGTTAATATAATTTAAGTCAAAAATAAAAATTCTCGGGTTTATCCTTACGAATTGAACATCTTACTTTAAAGGGGTAACAAAAAAATTTATATTTCTGAAATATTTAATATTAATTAATAAAAAGGTTGCAATATAAAAATGTAAAAGAATTGGAAATTTATAATGGTCGTTTTTGAAGTGTTTGACTTGTGGGTTTTTCCCCCATAGAGTCGTGTAGACTTGAGCATGACTAATTTGAATACTCTAAACATCCCAGATACATAGCTACAAGTATTAAAGTTGGAAGTGTAATATTATTCCAAAGGCAATTTTTCCCTTCATTAAGCAAAAACTATCATAAAGATAAGAGCTTCACTAGCACATTTTCTCTGGCCTAACATTTCAAACTTCAACAGGGATTTCCAGCCAGAATTAAGTGATCAATTATACATCGTTTCCCGGTGAGTTTTCCTCTCGTTTTCGGGTTTTTTATTTTATTTTTTCCCGATCAACACACATGCATACTAGCCGTTTCTTTTTCTAGTGTGGCTTGTCATCCTCTCGGATGAGACCAGATGCATGGACTTGCACCTTTGCTTACGCACAAAGAAATTGGTCCAAAGTCGTGAAGTCTTGGTTTGCTTTTGGTGATGCTTTTACATATACTTTCCTTGAAATGATGCTGCTTTATGTTGGTAAATAATTGAAAATTTCCTTACATGCATCCATTGATTTTCCTTTAGACTGCTTTTTCGTCCCGTTTTGGTTACTCCATACTTTATAAATCTCATATAAGTCTTCCCTAATTTCTATAGAAAGTACCACTTAAGGCACTAATCTTCATAATTTGGAGATTAAAGCTCTCTCGCTCTCTCTGTCTCTCTCTCTCTCTGGGTGTTTACGAGCATTTTTTTTTTTTTACGATCGTTCTTGTATGTGGGTCTATATATATATGCGTGTAAGTGCACGAGGGTGGTGGGTTCTTGAATATAATCTGTTACATCAAGAAGTAACCTAACCTATTCTTGAATATGTCAGCTGGTTAGGCAACTTTCTGTATTAGTATGTACTAGATAAGCATAACTTTGGGTCAGATCCAACTCAAAGCAATGCAAAAATGCAAACTAAAACTGATTAATAACCCCTAATCACCTTACAGGTTAGAAAAATGAGTTCTTCAAGGAGGAAAACCGCATTTATAATCCTCGTTGCCATCGTCCTTGCCTTAAACTTCACACAACTTGCAGGACTACCAACTTCTTACGATTCAGGTAACTGTTCTACCTTTTCTGTTAAAAGCTTACCTCGTAAAATCCTACCTAAATATTTATGTACCAATCGCTTACTTTCACAATTCCAGGGAGATACTTGGCTGAAACAGATAATGTTTCAGAACCATTTAAGCAATCAGATGATACCGTGAGAATAGACCCTTTGGAAAATTTCAAGAAATACAGAGGAGGATATGACATAACAAACAAGAATTACTGGAGTGTAAGTCTATATACGTCTCTGCCCTCCTCACACCCCAACCATGAAAGAAAAAAGACATAACTGCAATTAAATCACTAATGTCTTTTTCGTCTATTTTGTTCAGTCTACAGCGTTTACGGGCATATATGGATATGCAATTGCAGTAGTTTGGCTTCTATGCGGTATTGGATATGGAGGATATCTTCTTGTAACGAGAACCTGTTGTAGGAATAACAGAAAGCTCAAGAAGAGATCACCTTGTCATAAGCAGTGTTATCTACAGCCTCTGCTAGTGGCTACTTTCTTTACCATCTTAGCTATGTGAGCAATAAATATTCTCTCTAAACTCTTTATCATGTTCAAGTAATACATATTAATACTACAGGAAAAAAGGTTATCGAAACATTGCACCGCCAGTTACATAAAACAGAAGCAACTTAGGACTTGTTCGGTAGTGATTTTGAGAATTGATTTTTTGACCGTTGGAGATAAAAGTAGTCCTATATGTGAGAGAAGATGTCAAAAGTGACGGCTAGAATAGTGAAACAATGGTCAAAAATTGATTTTTTGGGGCAAAAAATCAATACCAAATATGCATTTAATCCATGAAGTCCCTTCAAATATTTTGAGAAAAAGAATAGCTTTTTCCACCAAATTGCTAGATGTAGAAAAGCCAATTGCTTTGATTGCACACTATTTAAATGCATGTTTGGTATGCAGTATTAGACAAGATTTGACAATATAACGTACAAGATTTTAGCTTCGACAATATAACATCCAAGATTTTAGCTTCATTTTCTTCCTTGGTATTGTCGAATACTACAAAATTCACCTTATTAAACAAGCCATAAGACGATAGAAGTTTATAGAAGTGTGTGCATGGTCTGGGAACATCCCATTAAGCTATTTGCTATTAACATCAATTTCAGAACTGCAACTGGCCTGGTTCTTGGAGGGAATGCAAAGTTCCATTCCAGAGCAAAGACTGTGATAGACATTATTATTGATACAGCAGATGATGCATCAGATACCATACATGAGGCGACAGGAGCAATGAAGAATATGAGTACTAATTTAGGGGAAGCTAATGGAAGTACTGACGCTACAAACTTCCTAACTTCAACATCCCAAAGGCTTGACTCTCAGGCTTCAGATATAGAAAGACAAGCGAGGAAGAATAGAAGAGCGATTGATAAGGGCCTCAAGATAGTGTAACCCTCTCTCTCTCTCTCTCTCTCTCTTTCGCTCGCTATTTGTGTGTGTGTGAGGGACAGTCTGTTAATACTATTTCATTTCGGATGGCAGGTACATAGTTACTACCTTGACAATTTCATTGAACTTGGTAGCTGTAATTGCTCTATTAGGTAATATGGATTCCTTACAGTCACTTGCAGTTTAAATTACACGCAAAAGTAGAATGAAAAATAAAGATTCTTTCCATCTTTCTAATAAAATGAACTCTATTTTAATGCAGTTTTTGGAGTACTAAAATTTCAGAGGACTCTTTCAATGTAAGTATATCAGATGAAATTGTAAAAAAATTTCTTGTGGAACACTAATGCATGTTTTTCTCATATATTTGCTTAAACTCTTTGCAGATTAATTGCACTATGCTGGATCCTCACTATCCTCTACTGGGTGTTCTTTGGGGTCTATTTCTTCCTCGGAAAGTACGCTTTACACTTGCCTTTCTTGAAAACATTACATCATTAAGAACAAATAAATTTTTAAGCACACACGCACGCAGAGAGAAAGAATGCATAGTCGAACCTGATTAATTATACGTCGGTATTTTTCTAGCTTCGTTGGAGACACATGCACAGCACTTGAAAGCTTCCAACAGGACCCCTACAACAACAGCTTAAGCTCCATTCTTCCATGTGATGATTTGCTTTCAGCAAGATCGGTCCTAACTGATGTTAGTGCCGGGGTTTACAACCTAGTGAACGAGGTAATAGTCGAAGATAGAATTGAAATTCTATAAGTATCAGATTCATCTTCTTGAACAGAATTGATTGAACATCCCATCTTTCAAGTTCTTATGTCACACAATCACTATACCATGCATAAAAATGATGAAAGAATATTAGAAAAATTGAATATTGCGTGATGTTTGAAAATGAATGCAGGTGAACAACAACATAACTTCGTCATATGCAAACATAGTTCAAATCTGCAACCCTTTCTCTCCACCACCTGATTATGAATTTCAGCCCTGGAATTGTCCAGCCAGTTCAATCAAAATAGGAGACATCCCTCGGGTGAGCATAAGATACTTTTGTCTATTCTCATCTCGTACTTCAATATTGCTCGTCTAGTTTTTGTAACTTACTAGTCCTTCACTTTTTGAAGATATTGAGAATGCTGACTTGTCCTGGTTCGGAGGGCGATACCTGTAATGGAGGGATCCTAATTCCCGCTAACGATTTCAATACTGTAGAGGCATACTCAACTTCGATACAACAATTACTAGACGTTTATCCTGGTATGGAACACTTGGTTGAATGTCAGATGGTAAAGGACGCTTTTTCTGAAATCCTTCATGATCACTGCAAACCTTTAAAGAGATACGTGAGAATGACTTGGGCAGCATTGGTATTTCTATCAGTAGTAATGATGGCTTTGGTACTTATATGGACAACTGAATCACACCATGAGCAAGAGCATCATTCTTTAGGTGGTTCAGTAAAACCACACTCTACAGCAGCAGATATGCCAGAATCTGAGACAACTAAAGCAACTAACAATGACCAAATCCCGGTCTAGTCCTGTACTTGGCGCTTCAGTTCCACGAGATTCATTAGCTAACAATACGGCACATATTACTTTCCAGAATTTCTTAAAAAGATGGGAGAGATCGGAAAGATAACGAGTCATAAAACACGACATGAAATATACCTAGGAACTAGCAAACATTTTTTCCTTAGAGCAGTGATATTTGTAGATAGCCAAATGTGGGGACAAACCCTTCATAGCATGTAATGAAAATTTTCGGAGCAGTGAAATTCATACTTATTATTTTATTCCTCAGCAATGTTTTGCAAGTACGCCTAGAAGAGCTACTCGCTTCGTAGAGTAGTCATACAAGATAACCAGTCCGTCCGCCCGTTGGCTAGCAGTCGAATCAGCAAACTTTAGTAAAACACTTTTAGAAACTTTTAGTGAAATCCCGCTTGGCCCCTATTATTTCACATTATAATGAAAGAAATGGTAATTTTTTGAAGAATTTGTATTCAAAAAAGAAAAAAAGTTTTTGAATTTACATATAATATTATTTTATTGAAAAATGTGTGATTAATAAGAGTCCAGACATTATGTCTCCCCTATTTCCTGTCTCCATGGCCGTCCCCCAATAAAAGCTCGGCATATCTCTCCAATTTTACACATCATCAATTTTTAATCTCTCTCTCTAAACATCATTAATACATTTTCCATGAATTTGAAGAAGTCGATAGATTCGATGGATCAAATGCTCTATGCTTCATCCAACTTAGCTAATTTGTATTTATCCCTTTACTTTTTCTTCTTAGACGATTGATTTCCAGCAAGAAGCAGCTTCAGTTCAAATTATTGAGCAGACTGGTTCTAGCAACTAAAAAAACCCTTGTGATTTTATTTTACCTTTTCTTGTTTTGTTCTTAGAAGATACATATATAAACTGAAAATTCTATTACTATTATTATTTTTTTCAATGGCTAATTAACAATGCTCTTGATCGAAAATAAATAATGTCGATCTTGTGGCCTCTTGGCGGAAAAACACTGTCATACCAAGCCACCACAAACTTGTGCAAAATACATTAAAAACAAAGGGCTAAAAGGCCAAGCATGATATAGATTTTCTGCAAACTGACTTCATCAGCAAAAGATGTCATGAGAAAGCTTGACAAACTAAGGGAAAGGCTATAGAAAAAATGCTGAAGCGCCATTACAAATTGCCTTCGTCCTGCAAGAAGGAGAGAATGGAAGCGCAAATGCACAAGTTACAACATAAGAAAACTATGTGATGAATTGATTTATACTAAGACAAGAAATACTCAACATGATTATGTGATAAGAGACACCTCAAGGCCTTACAATCACAGTGGAAACTAATTTTCGTGATCCTTGCACATGAGGATATCACAACAATTTCAAGTATAAATAATTTTTCTATCACTTTGAATAATCGCCAAATATATAAAGAAAAATGACATCCACTCTATCACTATTAGCATTAATTCCGTGAGTGTCATTTTTCAATATAATTGATGAAATTAATTTGAAATACATATATCCAGTACTAAATAAACCTGCTTCGGTGGAAAGTGGAAACATTATGTAAACACTGCAGTGAAAGAAACTACGAACTTATATAATGGGGACATAGCCTACAGTACACACATTTAAATTTTTTGACCATATGAGCATTCCTAGAGAAAAAACATAGAGTAAGAGTTGAAGGAAAAGTCCAGTTTACTTTTACAGGTTTAAACAACTTGTATGTAATTTTTTTGTAATCAACACGTAAGTTTGTTGTTTATTACTTTGAACTGATGTATTAGACTTCCTTTTTTTTTTTCCAACTTACCATGGGACAAATTGATCAAAATATTTGGAGAGACAGATGTTGCAGGAATCCTATTACCTTAGAAGTGATGTTGTGACTGTGTTTTCCCAGATGAGTATTCTGATTATTGCTTTTAGTAGTAGATTTAGGATTTACATCATAAGATGTGATAAAATTTAAGTATTAACTTACTTCAGTCCTCTATCATGCCCGTCAAAAGAACAATCAACAAAGTGTTAATAAGATGACAGGTTCACAATATGGCAAAAAATAAAACACCTTGCATTTTCACTAAATATTTGAATCTTTTATGTAGTTTCCGCTGACTTTCCTCATTGACAAGCTTGCGTGTTCATGCAAAGAAAAAAGTAAGCCGACCTAAAGGAACTCTGGAATATCATTTTATAACATCATTATTCTGGGATCTCACCACTTTCTATTAGAAAAAGCTTAAAGTTTGCAAGTATTATTCAACTCAGTCCCAATAAGTCCTACTTAGCATTATGTGATGTCACACACGAAAAGTTCATTTTCTCAAAAAAGAAAAAGAAAGAAAGAAAGAAAGAACGAACAAACGAAAGAAAGAAAGAAAGCAATATCTTCTAAGTTCTTAGTATTCAGTTTTCTACACAAGTCTTCTCCAAGAAAATTTCAACATAAAGAGACAAATCCCAATAGATGAACCACCAATGGGATGAATAATTTGGGAAAAATAGAACACGTGTTTCAACTGCCACATGAATTATCATGTCAACTCCAATTAGACCTTACAAAGATTTGAGATAGACAATAGAATCTCTCATAATGACATTGTTTAGCAAAGTGATTCATATGTAAGAACAATCTTAAGCAATTGTTACATTTACGATCTATCCATTATTCAATATTCTCCATCATGGTGATTCTATGTCAAGATAAAAATTGATTACACTCAAGTAATGGGAGCTCATTGATAAGAGGAAAAAGATATCACTTCATCAAAAAACAAATGCAGATTAGACATTATTAATAGTTTGAATTTGTACATTTTTCATATCCAGTTTTAAAAATCATGACCTGAACACTAAAACATGTATCCCACAAATAATTGCAGCTATTTCTTGACCATCTGCTCGAAACACCAAACACAACTATAAATAGTTTTTACACCACAAAATGGAAGAATATAAACAAAATTCCAGTTCATTCCAAGATACCGATTCAAATAAGAAACGTAAAATTTGCTACACCATACAACAAGTCTGGCTTCATTTTTAATTTTTAACAAACCAACAGATTTTTCTCTACCCAAACTTCGACTTTGATTCTTTCCTATTGAGTCCTGGGGTTCCTTGTCAACCTTCGATGGGACCAGCCCAAGCCTTAATCATTAGTTATTATTAACTTGGATTCCAACTTAAAAATCAAACCTTGTCAAAACGAAAAGGATAAAAAAAAATAAAAAATCATAACATATTGGAGGAGAAAACCGTACTTGCTGTGGAGCGTGTTCATGAGGAAGAAAGGATTCCAGATTCGAAACTCGGGTGTCCAAAGAATTAAATTTTTCATTCAACTGCAACCAAAAAACAGAATGAAAAAAAAAAAAAATTGATATAAATCAATACAATTCATATGCATATATGTTTGAATTTATACAAAATTACCTGGAAAAAGATGCCTTTGCGATCTATCCATAGATCTTTGAAAACAAAGTGAGTCATTACTGCGGAGGTGGATGCAAAACCCAGAGTAAACCATAACAATCTTGTTCTCATCATTTTTCTTTATTTTCTTTTTTCTTTTTTTCCTCGTCTCCGTGTTTTGTAGTGGTGTAATTTTTAGTTTGGCCATGTTAGAGAGGCATTTTTTCACATGAAGCAAAAAATTTTGCCTCAGCAAAATGGCCTTTTATTGATTAAAAGATAAAAATGTCCTTAACTAATTTATATAATTACAAAGATAGAATTTTGTTTTAAAAAACAAAAATACCCTTAAATTACAAATTAAAAAATCAAATATTTTTCACTTTATATTTAATTATTTATTTTAAACAATTACTCAAATTAAAAAAATTAATATTAAATTTACTTTCTTATTTAAATATTTCATTAATTAATTATCTTAATCGGTTATGTATATTATTTATTTAATTTTTAATTTTTTTATTTAATTATTTATTTAATCACTTGCTTAAATAAAAAATTAATATTTAATTTGATTTCTCATTTAAATATTTTATTAATTTATTATCTTAATTGATTATGTATATTTAATAAATTATTTAATTATTTATTTTAAACACTTATTCAAATAAAAGGTTAATATTTAATTTTGGTTTCTCTTTTAAATATTTCATTAATTAATTATTTTAATTGGCCCTCATTTAATTATTTATTTTAAACACCTACTCAAATAAAAAAATTAATATTTAATTTGATTTCTAATTTAATTATTTCTCTATTAATTATCTTAATTGGTTATGTACATTATTTATTTAATATTTAATTACTTTATTCAAATGATCACTTATTTAAATAAAAAAATAATATTTATTTTAATGTCTTATTTAAATATTTCTTTAATTAATTGTCTTAATTAGTTATGTATGTTATTTATTTATTGTTTAATTATTTTGTTTAATTATTTATTTAATCACTTAATTAAATAAAAATTAATATTTAATTTAATTTCTTATTTAGATATTTCATTAATTAATTATCTTAATTGGTTATGTACATTATTTATTTAATATTTAATTACTTTATTCAAATGATCACTTATTTAAATAAAAAAATAATATTTATTTTAATGTCTTATTTAAATATTTCTTTAATTAATTGTCTTAATTAGTTATGTATGTTATTTATTTATTGTTTAATTATTTTGTTTAATTATTTATTTAATCACTTAATTAAATAAAAATTAATATTTAATTTAATTTCTTATTTAGATATTTCATTTATAAATTATCTTAATTAATTGTGTATATTATGTATTTAATATTTCATTACCTTATATAATTATTATTTTAATCACTTATTTGAATAAAAAATTAATTTTTAAATATTAATTAATTATTTAAATATTTCAGTAATTAAATATCTTAATTAGTTATGTATATTATTAGTCATTAATATTTAATTACTTTATTTTAATTGCTTGTTTAAATAAAAACATTATACCATAATGTACAAGTGCCATAATATTATTGGAAAGTTGAAAAACAGTTTTTTCGATCCTTTACTCATAAAATTTCACATATACATTATGGACATTTTTATAAATTAATATATGTAGAATTATCCAATATTGAATTTTATTTCTTGTTTAAATATTTCTTTATTAATTATCTTAATTGGTTATGTATATTTAATTACTTTATTCAATTATTTATTTTAAAACCTATTCAAATAAAAATTAATATTTAATTTAATTTCTTATTTAAATATTTCATTAATTAATTATCTTAATTGGTTATGTACATTGTTTATTTAATATTTCTTTACTTTAATTAATTATTTATTTAATCACTTATTCGAATACAAAATTAATACTAAATTTAATTTATTCTTTAAATATCTCATTAATTAATTATCTTAATTGGTTACATATATTATTTATTTAATATTTAACTAGAACATAAATTACATGATGCATGAGAATATTTAACAGAGATGAAAGTCGAATATTAGGCACGATCACATTTTCAAAACATCGAAGATTATTCAAGAATGCCGAAAATATATTTCTTCTACTAAATGAAGTCAAGTGGGAAGTTCTCGATTATAGTATATTACTCTCTACCCAATGGATGTGTAATATCTATTTAAATCGTATGTACTCTCTATTTATAGTATATTATTGGTTTCCTCAATTTTCTCTATTTATAGTATGTTATTGATTACGTGAAAATTGACCCGATGAATATGTAATATCTATTTAAATTGTATGTACTCTTTATTTATAATATGTCACTGATTTCCTCAATTTTCTTTATTTATAGTGTGTTATATATGTAATTAAGAGTAATTGGTTATTTATTATACAATTACATAAAGACAACAGTATTATAAACGTTTTAAAAAAAATGTTTACGTTTTAAATTATTACAACTATGAATCACAATGTAAAAAAAAAAAAAAAAAGGCTTACATTTTAATGTGTGTTTGGTTTATCAGCTCTACGTCACGTCTGATGCTAAAAATTCAATATATTTCAATTTGATCCGAATCCGATAAAATTAATGGAAGATGGATTTAGGGTTTTAATCCAATAACCCAATCGAGATTCAAATTCGATAATCCGTTAACTAAATAAAGCAAATATGAATATAGATCGATCCGATCCGATATCACTAAAACATTCCAAAATGATGAAAATATGTCTATATATATATGTTGTAGGCCTTCTATTATAATAAGTGAGCCCATCATGATAGTTCAAATATTTTTTAAAATAAATAATTAATTAAAATCTTGTTGGGGCTATGATTTTCAACGAAAAAATAAATAAAATCTATATTTTTCTAATTTTTTCAATTTCGGATCTAATTTCTGATAACATAGTTAATCGGATATGAATTTGACATTCAAATATCCGTTGGCTTATTGGATTGGATCAAATAGGATAATTATTCTTAACAGATCGAATCGAATTTGAGTAGATCCGATCCATATATCCGATCTATTTAGAACCTTAACTTCAATGCAAAGATTCCACAATCGCCCTGATTCGAATTCACGGAAGAGGTTGGGCAACGTACCATCGACGGATGTCACGTTCATCGTCTTCTCCGTCATAATTTCTTATATAATGTCACTTTCATCGTCTTCTCCAGGATAATGTCACATTATCCAAACTCGCGACATTATCTGTCAAGTTGGGGGGTCATTTCCGACATAGTTATGTATATTAATGTGTGTTTAGTTTATCAGCTCTACGCCACGTTTGATACTAAAAATTCAATGTACTTCAATTAGGGCTGTCAATAGATTGGATTTTAATCTGAATCCGGTGAAATTAATGGGAGATGGATTTAGAGTCTCAATCCGATAACTCAATCGAGATTCAAATCCGATAATTCGTTAAATAAATAAATCAAATATGGATATAGGTCAATCTAATCTGATAAATAAATAAAATCTTTATTTATCTAATTTTTTCAATTTCGAATCGGATATCCAATAACATAGTTAATCGGTTATGGATTTAACATTCAAATATCCGTCAGATTATTGAATCGGATCGGATAGATTAGGATAATTATTATTAACGGATCAGATCGAATTTGAGCAGATCCGATCCATTTACGGTCCTAATGTTCGCGAAATATTTCTTTCGATTTAAATTACCGCAAGTGTACAGATCGTGACAAGTAATAAAGTGGACTTTAGAAGTCCGAGTATCGTCCCACAGAGAAAGAGTAGTTCAATTTTATTTATTTTAGCTTTAATCGAAACTAATTGAATTAAAATGAATTTTAGAATCAAAAGCCCTAAATTTGGGAGAAATCCTCAAATTGAAAAACCCTAATTTCAAATCAAACCCTAATTTTGGAAGAAATCCTCAAATTGAAAAACCCTAATTTCAAATCGATTTAACGAATGACTCAATTACGAAATGTTATGAAAATAGATGAAATGTATTGTCAATTTATGAAAATCTATGTAAAACGAATGCACTAGGATCACGAATCCCCAAATAATTACTAATTAAACCCTAATTTCACAATTTTGATAATCCAATAAGAATTTGACAAATCAATGCTCCTAAATCTATTCAATACTCTCTCTCGAGATGTATTGAACCTATTCTCATAAATCACCAGCCTATATCTCTATGACGGATGCAATTATACAAGAACGCATGTAATCTTTTTATGAGCAATTAAATATTTACATAGGGCATAGGGGTATATTTTTATCCCCTATCGGACCCTATGATGAATTATATATGTCGAGTTTAATCTAATTTTCTGAAATTCAGAATTAAACCACCAAGTTCACACAAATTAAGTGCACATTAATTGTGGAAATAAATAAAGCAATATAATCCATTCAAATATCCCATCGAACTATGAATTCAAAATCATGAAATAACAAGTTTAATAATAATTACATGGTTCATCGATCACCTAGTTGCAGAAATCTAGCCTATCATGATAAAAATAACGAAATCTAACAAGTTTTGAATAAAATACATCAGCGGGTTATTAAAACTTGAAGAAATCTTGTAGATCTTCGCATCAATCGTTGTTCTTGTCTTCAAATCCTCTCAAAGATGAATGTTTTTGCCTCCCAATTTGTTCGTGCGGCTTCTGGATATTTATTTGCTATTTAAACCCGTCGAAATTAGGTTACCAAAGGAGTTGCAATCATATAAGGAAACTGCAAAAATCGGGGAAAAGTTATACCTATGCGACCGCATAGGCCTATGAAAAATGGCGTTTTTAATCCCTGGAGGGTCACTCCCAACCGCATAGGTTTTATACTATGCGACGGCATAGTAGAGCGAACTTATAATTTGAGTCATTTTGATCCTCAAGTTTCATTCCTTCACTCCTTGACCTCCTCTCTTGTTTGTAGTTGCTCCAATGTTCCATTATAGCTTCCAATTGGTGCTTGGCTTGATCAATTGCTTGATGTGTTCATCGGGTCAACTTTTAGATAATTGCAATTTGGTCCCTGAATTTTCATTTTGCTCCTATTTGGTCCTTTTTTCGGCTCTTTTCTCCTGAATTCCACTATTTCCATAGAATTACCTAACATTGCATGAATTTGACAAAGTTAAGTAACAATTCAATCATTTTACTTGTATTTAAGTCATGTTAGTGATGTAAATAAGTGTG